ACAGATTGTAGGTTGGTTTTGAACATACTGTGCAAGTTTACCATCATCAGAAGCTCCTCAAATTACTGTCAGGAGTAGTCATGTGGTGTCGTGCCGAGTAATGTACAAAGCAAGCTTGCAGCCCACTGGTAAATACAGAGACCATATGGATGCCTAGTGGGACGTAAACATTAGGGACTTCAATTAAAGGGAGATGGCAAGTTTTATCTTGTTTGCTGGAGAGTAGTTTCTGTTAAGCCAGGGATCTGGACTTTCCTTTGTCTACTCCTGATCCTTTTTCCACTGGAAAGGGGCCTCGATCCAGACCCCAAGAGAGGGTTCTTGGACCTCACGTAAAGAAGAGTTTGGGGCAAGTCCATAAAGTGAAAGCAAGCTTATTAAGAAAGTAAAGGAATAGGCTGGGTGCAGTGGTTTACGCCTGTAATCCCAGCACTTTGGGAGGCCAAGGTGGGTGGATGACTTGAGGTCAGGAGTTTAAGAACATCCTGGCCAACATGGTGAAACCCCATCTCTACTAAAAATACAAAAATTAACTGGATATGGTGGCACGCGCCTGTAATCCCAGCTACTCGGGAGGCTGAGGCAGGAGAATTGCTTGAATCTGTGAGGTGGAGGTTGCAGTGAGCTGGGATAGTGCCACTGCACTCCAGTCTGGGCAACACAGCAAGACTCTATCTCAAAAATAGGCTGGGTGCAGTGGTTTATGCCTGTAAACCACTATCTCAAAAATAATAATAATAATAAAGTAAGGGAATAAAAAAATGACGACTCCAGGCCAGGTGCGATGGCTCACGCCTGTAATCCCAGCACTTTGGGAGGCTGAGGTGAGAGGATCACCTGAGGTCAGGAGTTCAAGGCCAGCCTGGCCAACATGGTGAAACCCCATCTCTAGTAAAAATATAAAAATTAGCCGGGCATGCTGGTGTGCACCTGTAATCCCAGCTACTCAGGAGGCTGAGGCAGGAGAATCACTTGAACCCAGGAGGTGGAGGTTGCAGTGAGCCAAGAACACGCCACTGTACTACAGCCTGGGCAACAGAGACTCCATTTCAAATAAAATGATAATAAACAAAAATTAAAAGAAATTAAAGGAATAAAAGAATGACTACTCCACAGGCAGAGCAGCAGCATGGGCTGCTGGACTGAGTAAACTTATAGTTACTTCTTGGTTCTATGCTAAACAAGGGGTGGATTATTCATGAGTTTTCCAGGAAAGCGGAGGGCAATTCCTGGAACCAAGGTTTCCTCCTCTTTTCAGACCAGATAGGGTAACTCCCTGACGTTGCCATGGCATCTATAAACTGTCATGGCGCCGGTAGGAGTGTCTTTTAGCATGCTAATGTATTATAATTAGCATATAATGAGCGGTGAGGAAGACCAGAGGTCACTTTTTTTTTTTTTTGAGACGAGTCTCGCTCTGTCCCAAGTAGGTGGAACTACAGGCACCCGCCACCGCGCCTGGCTAATTTTTTTTTGTATTTTCAGTAGAGACGGGGTTTCACTGTGGTCTCGATCTCCTGACCTCGTGATCCGCCCACCTCGGTCTCCCAAAGTGCTGGGATTATAGGCATGAGCCACGGCGCCTGGTCCAGAGGTCACTTTCATCACCCTTGTGGTTTTGGCTGGCTTCTTTACCGCATCCTCTTTTATCAGCAGAGGCTTTGTGACCTGTATCTTGTGATACCAAACCTGCTGACCTCCTATCTCATCCTGTGACCAAGAATGCCCAACATCCTGAGGATAAAGCCCAGCAGTTCTCAGCCTCATTTTACCCAGCCCTTGTTCAAGATGGAGTCGCTCGGGTTCAGACGCTTCTGACCCTTGAACTGTAGCACTGACCTGATCAATATCTCCTACTGTGAAAGGAAAATAAATCTCGGGACCCCAAGATTACTATGCCAAAGAGAGAAGTCAAGCTGAGGATCGCGTCAGACAAACCTGCCTCCCATTTTGTTCTTCGATAAGATAGCTAGAAAGTTCAAAAGAGCGACATACCCCCTTCACAATTTCTCCACAAGGAAATTCCTTTTGGGCCTCAAGATCTTTGCCCTAAAACAGTTCTGATGAATTTTACCCTGGCAATGTAAATTCACAGCTTTTCTTCACAGGGACAACGCAGGCAAGTCATCCCTCTGCTCACTGAAGACAAATGCACATGTGGTTTCTTCCTCTGCCCTATTGTTTATGCAAAAATGCAGATTCACTGAGCCAGACAGTGAGTAAAGCATATGTGACTATTCCTCTACCCACTCTCACATGTAAATTGTGTATTCAGTGAAAGGCTGATCACAGACTGAAAAGAATGCAACCTTCTGGTCGGGCATGCTGGCTCATGCCTATAATCCCAGCACTTTGGGAGGCTGAGGTGGTTGGATCACCTGAGGTCAAGGGTTCGAGACCAGCCTGGCTAACATGGCAAAATCCCGTCTCTACTAAAAATAAAAAAGTTAGCCTGGCATGGTGGCACACACCTGTAGTCCCAGCTACTCAGGAAGCTGAGAAAGGAGAATCGCTTGAACCTGGGAGGTGGAGGTGGCAGTGAGCTGAGATCTTACCACTGCACTGCAGCCTGGGCGACAGAGTGAGACTCCCTCTCAAAAAAAAAAAAAAGAACTCGGGGTAGGGGGACATGGGTCCCCAGCCCCTGAATTCAGGAAAACTGTATGGAACTTTGTCACCACACATGAAAACTGCAAGGGGCCATAGAAAGCTCCTAATTCAATGCCTCTTTTAATGTAGAAACTAAAGCTAAAGAGGAGATAAATGGCTACAGAGTGTCACAGGCAGGACAGAACCCAGGGCTCCCTGCCTCCAGACTATTTCTCCAGCAGTCTAGCGACCATTCACCCTCCTCCTTTTTTGTTTTTTTGAGACAGAGTCTCATTCTGTTACCCAAGCTGGAGTGCAATGGCACGATCTCGGCTCACTGCAAGCTCCGCCTCCCAAGTTCATGCCATTCTCCTGCCTCAGCCTCCGGAGTAGCTGGGACTACAGGCGCCCGCCACCTTGCCCGGCTAATTTTTTTGTATTTTTAGTAGAGGTAGCGTTTCACCATGTTAGCCAGGATGGTCTTGATCTCCTGACCTCGTGATCTCACTGCCTCGGCCTCCCAAAGTGCTGGGATTACAGGCATGAGCCACCAGGCATGCACCCGGCCCACTCATCCTCCTTCTGCTAACAGCACCCTGATCTTCCTCTGAGGAGCCACCCCTGTGCTTGGCTGAGCCCTTATTGTTGAGGTGGGCTCTGCCCACATCTCCAGATGAAATCCACAAAAGCCAGTCCCTCAGGCCCAAGCTACAGTCAAGGTCAGACACAGGACTCAGCAGAGCCATCCGGGGTGAACAGGAGGCATCTGGAGGCTTTTTCTTCCACTGGAGCTGGCCTATGTGGGGCTTCCCCAGACATGAAGGCCCAGGAAAAAACTGTCTGCATCCCCAGAAATGAGAGAGAACCTGGCGGGTG